AGGGGGAACCTCAAATTTCAAAAAATCCGTTCCAGGGGCTAGTTCTAAATTCGAAAAGTCAAATTCGAAGCAATATTTTCCATAAGAAAATAAGGGAAAAACAATTTTAATTGTTCCAGAAACCAAAAGTATTCACAAAAATAATACATTTTTTAGAGATTAATTAGTTTTACAACACACAACAAAACTAAGTCTTTAATTTTGTATAGTAATATAAAATAAAAATTTTTACTTACCTTTATTGAAATTGGTGATGACATTTGGGAAAAAGAGGAGGAGGAAGAGTTGGGGGTTTTTGTTTGGGAAAGGGGAATCCCCCTCCATGAGGACTTCCGTATCAAAGCCCTCTCTGGGGGTTTCTTTCCCCCCTCGTTTTTAAGCCACTAGGACCAGCTTTTGCATTGGACCCCCCTCCCAAAAAAAATTTCACCCCCCAAAAAAATTCCCCTCCTGTTTTTGTCTCACAAAAAATCCACAGTCCTCTTACTCCTGGCAAGCTCAACAAGTCTCACTCCAATCTCTACTTCTGTTTATTTTTTTCTTCACATCTATGTGTTTCTCACTTCTTTCCCAGGGGTATGTAGCAAGTTTCTTTGGCCATGGGAGCTTATTTCACAGTCCCCCAAGCACTAAAACCCAAATTAAAAATCATAAAATGTTGGGGAAAGAGACGCAGTTATGTTTATCAAGCTAAACAAAGCTAACTGCTCACACGCCTGCGCGGGGGCGCGGACAGAGCGGGCCCCGCACAGGTCCCGTACCCGGGGGTCCAAAAATGGGGGGCGTTTGATAAAGGGCACAGTTTGTCCGAAAAAAAAGGTCTTATTTCGAAAAATTTTTTTTTTTGTGAACATTTTTTTTGAGGTTCCACGTATTTGTACAGTTTTTTTAAAAAAAAATATGATAATTTTTCAAGATTTTATTCCCTCAAGGGGGGAGGGGTTCTTTATTCAAGGAATTGGCCCACCTTCCCTTCCTTGGATCAAATGAAGCCTTTCCCTTTCCTCCCCCCCCCTTGGCCGTATGACCTGTGGGTTTCCAACCCCCTGCTGTAGTAATAATAATTTAATTAAAAAAATTGACTTTGTAATTTAATTTTTAAAAAGTGGTAAGGTAATTGTGAACAAAAAAGAAAACTTCTTCCCCCCACATTTATGCTGTGGGTGAATCATTGAAGGGGGGCTTGATTACCCTGGGCCATCCCGGTGCAATTTAGCTCAGGTGAACCATTACTGCCGCTTTATGGCATTATTGTTAGAGGATTATTTCTTGATGACCTTTAAAGAATTTTTTCAGTTAGATATTTCTGTAATTCTTTACACAAAGGTGGGTTGCTGGGGCCCTTTTTTGTCTCTAACATGCAAAATAAATCTTTCACTTCACTTCACTTAGGTCACCACACATCATGTACATTTCATTATCACACTCATCTGATTTTCTTTGCTTTCTTTAAAGTTTTGTTCTTATTTTCCCTTTTATCTCCCTGGGGAAGTGGAGTAAGAATCCTTCCTCTGTAATCATAAAAAAACATCTAAAAAGCTGGAGCTGGGGTATAACCCCTTCTCCTGTGTAAATTTAGAGAACCCTGATTTTTTACTTTGAAGGAAACTAATTTGGGAAAGGGGACTTTTTAAACAACCCTTTTATTATTATTTGTTCAAAACCTGATGACACCATTAAATGTGTATCTACTTTAAATTTTTTTAAAAGCAACTGCAAATTTTGTCCCCTTGCAATGTTTTTTTTTTAAAAAGTTATTTCCTGTAAGCCATGGAGACCTAAAAGGAAAAACATTCAAATATTTTAAAAAATTATTAAAAATAGTTTTCAGTTTATAGTAATTTCAGTTTTAAAATCAAATTTAATTTTTTCCTCAGCGCTTTATGGTAATGGAAATTATTAACTGATTTTGGAATGTCCTACAACTGTATTTTTTAAACCACGGAGTATGGCTGTTTGGGCTATCGAAAAGACAGCAATTGAAAATTTGGGAGGGAAATATTGAAACTACCATTCTAACTTTTCCAACCATTGGGAAATTTCTTCCTCACCGCCCCAAAAAAAATTGCTAACAAAACTCATCGGTTAAATGAAAATGAGGTACCCTTTTTTTCTTTTTTAAATTGGTAAATTGAAAAAAATTTATTTTCTAACTGTATACTGTAAATAAATTTTTTTTTTCCCCTTTGCTTATTGGGATAATAGAGCATTTTTTCATGTGCATATTTTGACCAGCACTAAAATAATTACATGGGTGTTGCAGTTATTTCTGTGAAGAAGCACATTTCATAATGCTTTTGGGGTTCTAAAAAAAGAAAAGGAAATACAAAAAGTTAATCTTAATATATAAACAATTTAATGAGTTTGAAAGACTAACATGTGATTTTCATGGGTTGTGTCTGTCATAAATTTTTAATTCACTTTTATTGATGATAAATTAGACACGGCAACATTTTTGGATCTTTATTGAGGAAACATTTTGCCAAAACCTTGGGTTCATCAGTCCCTACAAAGGAGAAAAAGGGAAAGAACAGGATTTGAGGGAATCAGTCCCTCAGCGTTAGTCGATGTAATCAGTCCATCTCTTGAAAAAAAGCACAGCAAAATGCGAAAAGTGATTGTATACCCGTAGACAAAGGGTAAGCCCCGCAATAAAGATTAATTATTAAAACAGGGGGTTTTTCTTGTACTCAGTTGATAGAATGGAAGGCATACTAGCAAAATAGCTAAGAGTTTGGGTGACTGGAACAATGGAATTGGCTTAAAATAGAACTCGGTGGGTGACATCACAGATGCGTAAATACTGCTAAGGCCAGTAACTTTGCAAGAGCATAATTTCGTAAGTTTCCATCCAATTTTATACTTTTGGATTCATTACCTTTGGAAGGAGATTCTGTCATTTCATAAGAAAAAATATTTTTTTAGTATTTTTCATTTAAATTCTTGGACCCTGAGAGCAATTTTGAGATCAGGGGTCTGGACCCTGAAAGGGTTAACCCTTTGAAGGTCTGTGCCATAGTACTACAGGCTTGAGCTCAGGGCCTGTCCTGTAGTACTGTGTGATTAACTCAGCTCACTCATATACGCAGATATGAGTGAGCTTATGAGAGAATGGGTATGTATATATGGTAAGTTTGCACTGTATAAAAAAGAATCCTACCCCATGCAGTGCATACCTGAAGGGTATTCCAAGGGTCACCGCCCTCACAGTCTGGTCTATGATAGAAAAAAACTGACCATGTATTTGGTTTAAAATGGCAACTTTGAGGTGTATTTTCAGATGGTTTTTATTGATGTATTTTCAGCTTCTTGGTATCAGTCGATAATTTGGAAAATATATTACAGAAATTGCAATGATATTGATTGGTTTCAGGACTGGAAGTATGATATTGAGCTCAAGGTAGCAGAAATGTTTGATTTTTGCCAGATTATCTCAGATCGTACGCGTCCAACTGGTCAGTCTAATACACGTTCACGTATGTGCTGACATTATTTATACAATTATTACAATAATGTGGTAGTTTGCATAACAGTAAATCTTCTATTTTTTGTGTGAATAAAAATTCAAAATGGAAAGCAAGCATAATATAGGAGAGGCCTGGGGAAATAACAAATAAACAGAGGAAATGTTTTAGTCCCAGGAATGTCTACATTGTTTATCCTGTACCCTATTTTTTAACCCTTCAGGGTCAGTACTCCTGATCTGAGAATTGCTCTCAGGGTTGAAGATTTAAAAAAAAAAAACTGTGAAATGATAGAGAATCTTTTCCAAAGGTAATGAAACCAAGAGTATGAAATTTGATGGAAAACTCACGGAATTACACTCTCGCAAAATTAGTGGTCTGGACGATATTTATGCACTGGCTATATCGCCCATTTTGAGTCCTACTTTAGACCAATTTCATTGTTCCAGTCACCCAAACTCTTAGCTATTTTGCTAGTATTCCTTCTGTTCTATCAATTGAGTACAAGAAACTGCCCATTTACCTGTTTCAAATACCCAATAAAGTGATCAGAAATAGGTAACGATCGGAAATAGGTAACTTGGCCAATTTCACACAAAATTAAAAAATTGCCAATTTAAAAATTGTCCAGAATAAACAGGTATAGACATTCTTGGCACTAAGAAGCACTTCTTCCATTCATTAGTTTTGTCCCCAGGCTTTTTGTATATTGTTCTCACTTTCTATTAAGAAATTTTATTCACACAAAAAATAGAAGATTTACTGTTATGCAGACTACTGCATTATTGTAATAATTGTATAAATAATGTCAGCACATTCGTGAATGTGCGTTAGACTCGCCAGTTAAAGTGTATTGGACGCGTGATGTGATTTATTTACTCTTGAACATTGCCAAAAATCGAACATTTCGCAAAAATCGAACATTTCCGCTACTTTGAGCTCAGGTTCAAGCTATTTTCAGTCCTGAAACCAATCAAAATCATCACTATTTCCGTTATATATTTTCCATTCTATCATATGAGACCAAGAAACCGTGAATAGAACCATAAAAAACTATACAAAAATGTGCCGCAAAAAACTGAAACCATGTTTTTGGTTTAAAAAACAAAAACCTGATGGCAGTTTTTTCCTCATTATGCACTGCATGCTGCAGGATTATTTTATATAGTGCACACCTGTCACATAGACCCAGTCTCTTATCTAGGCCAAAATTTACTGCTCACAGCTTATCTGAGTGAGCTAAGCTCATGGCTTAGTACCATGGCATCGACAGTGACCTCAGAGCCATAGTACTACAGCACAGTCAGCCTAAGGGTTCAACAATTTATATTCAGATTTAATTTAATTCTGTATTTTGTTGAAAACAGTTGATACGAATATGAAGCCCTCCATTATCGAATCTTAATTTGTTTTTTCTTCTTGAATTTGGAAAAAAATATGTTTGAGAATTGCACCATATTTATTTAGAAATTAAGACGAGGTAATAAATTACGTAATTTGTGTTCTTTTACAATGCATAAATTCTTTCATCAACAGATAGTTATTGGTGGTGGCTCTGGTGGCTTGGCAGCTTCCAAGAGAGCAGCAGATCTGGGAGCCAAGGTTGCAGTATGTGACTTTGTCACTCCGACTCCAAAGGGCACAACATGGGGACTTGGTGGTACTTGTGTTAATGTTGGCTGCATCCCCAAGAAACTAATGCATCAGGCAGCAATTCTTGGACATGATATGAAAGTGTGTATTATACATATACATATGTATATTGATGTGCTTCTGTTACGAGAATTGGAAAAAATATACTGAAAATTTAAAACATGCTCTTTTCAAGATTAACCCTTTTATTTATTGTTTGCATGTATTGCCAGTAAACACCTGGAGGTTGGTGGCCTAAATTTTTTTAATTATCTTGATATACTCATGTCATTGGGTGGCCCTTTGTTTTTTATACAGTACGTACCATATTGTCCTGCATATGAGGCACTTTTTTTTTTAGTCTTGGAAAATCACCCTGCTTCTTATATGCTCAAGGTTTGGGTAATGCTTTAGCAGTTGTTTACAAACTTTACATTACAACTGCCTGGAAACATTGTGCCAGCAATCAGCCAACACTCATGTGCTTGTACTATCCTGGAAAATACGCTATATTCTCTTAATGATACAAAAGTAGTCGGTGCATTTGAATTCATATTTTATATTTTTAGGCTTTTAAAACATCAAAATTGCAATTTATGTAAAAATTTTGTCTGCTTTCAGGATTCTCGAGAATTTGGATGGGAGACTCCAGAGGCAATTACTCATGACTGGAACAAGATGGTGGAAGGAATCCAGAGTCACATAGGTTCACTGAACTGGGGTTATCGTGTTGCTCTTAGGGATAAGAAAGTTACCTACCTCAATGCTTATTCAACATTCATTGACTCCCATACACTCAAGGTATTGTATATCAGATTCCAAATGTTTCATTTCTCTTCAACTCTGAGGATATTACTCAAACCTCATAATTTTATAGCTATTAGATTATGTCTAGAAAAATATTGACATGTTACCTATAGTGTGTTGAACTAATGTTGGGTAATGCAATCTTGGAAGCTCCTAAAATATCTTTTTAAATGTGTTTTGTTGAATTGCTGAATCCTTATCAAACTTCGTAAATGAAGTGAGAAAAGGAAGATGAAGTGTAATATGTGTCATCATAATGAATATGGGAGAAAGTTAAAAAAAAAATATATATATATCACATGGTGAATATAGATGGTGTGATAAAATATTAAAGTGCCAGATAGAGAGGTGTCTAGTACAGTGGAACCTCGGTGTTCAAACTTACTGGACCTCAAATGAACTGAAGTCCAAGTAGTTTTGTTCAGAAAAAATTGACCTGGTCTTTGAGTGTTTTTCTGGAGTTCAAATGTGCTTGTTGTAAAAAAAATTACACGAAAGCTGTTCCAAAAATGCTTTAAAGCGACCTCTGACACTGATGTAACTGAGACTTTTGGAAGTCAGTTCAACATCCTCCAGTGTACGAGGCTGATAAAGCCTTGAAATACTGTTTTGGACATTGAACTTTTTGCAGTTCGAACACCACCCAGGAACCGATTAAGTTCAAACATTGGGGTTCCACTGTATTTGTCAATGATTGTCTTGAATATTTGTAGATTTTATCATAGTTACATTCCTTTAGTTTATTATGTGCTCACTAACTTAAATATTTTGATATTCAAGGGTTAATTTTACATAATTTTTTCTTTACAGTCGAGAATTTTAATATACGTATTTTAATTTCTTCCAGACTGTGGACCGTCGTGGTAAGGAAAAAATTGTCACAGCTGACAAATTTCTACTAGCCATGGGGGGACGTCCACGGTATCCCGACATTACTGGTGCTAAAGAGCATTGTATTACTTCTGATGACATTTTCTCGCTTCCTTATGCACCTGGTAAAACCCTTCTTGTTGGAGCATCATACATTGCCCTTGAGTGTGCTGGTTTTCTGGCTGGGCTGGGTTATGACACCACAGTTATGGTAAATAGCTCAAGAGAGATCTTCAGTTTTTACTGGCCAATGTAGATTCTGCTGTACCTCTTCATGAAGTGCTGTTTATAATATATTCATAAAGTGGAACACGAGTGCTAATTTAACTTTGTTTTTAGGTTAGGTCTATCCTGCTTCGTGGATTTGATCAGCAAATGGCAGAAAATGTAGGAGCATACATGGAGAAAAATGGAATAAAGTTCATTCGTGGAGCTGTACCATCATCAGTGGAGCAGGTTAGCCAATAAAATGAATTATATGTGAGTTCTTTAAATAGCTTCTTTTGATGCAGAAGTAAGACATAAATGCCAACAAGTAATAAGATGACTAAATGCAGGGCAGCCTTTATTAATGTTTCACCCAGGGGGGCATTAAAAAGTATTTTACATAGAAAACAGTGCATCTAAATAGTACACTTCGCAGCTTAGGTCGGGTGAACAATAAGGAAGTGGAGCATCAGAGGAGCACTTGCTGGAGGCTTACTGGCACAAACTAGGCTTTACGTTGCTGCTGCTCCAGGATGAAGTGGGCAATGGGTATATATGCTTCTGTTCTGATTAATGTTTGACAGTTCAGGACTCCATACACCTGCATATACTTTGTCATTTGATGCATTAACAGTGTAGCTTCTTCTCACACTATGATGTTGGCATGAAGTTGCTGTGCTGTACGCAAGCATTATTGGCACTGCGAACTCTGTATGCCTGCTTAAGTTCTTATAGGCATGTGGAAAGAGCACTGGAAGTTTTAAGGGTAGACTTTGTTGCATCCCCACAAAAGTCAGTAAATTTAAGTCTGGATGCTATGCTGGGTGTGGAAAATCATGTGATGTCTGATTTATTGTAGTGGTAATTACAGCTACATCAATCCTGGCTTGATATAGGATAGGAGAGACCAAGTTAACTAGTGATAGTGGGTAAAATGAATCCCAGGCCTTTAACCTGGGATTGAAGTTTGCCATCCAGATCCAGAAACCCAAGCAAATCATTAATATTTTAACTAGGAACCACTGAATTCAGGTGAGGAGGAAACCTGGCACCGGACCTCTTCCTCTTTCAGTCCTGTTTTACCTCTGATTGTTAAAGCTCCCTAGAGTGAACCTCACCACAAATGTCCCTGTACTGCATTTTTCTTATTTATGTACTCGTCAGTATTTGATTTCCTTGAAAGATTATCTGATAATGCATATAAGTTCTCAGTACTACATGCATGGTTTATCACACTGTTGCCATCTAAATCATCCTTTAACCCTTTCAGTGTCTGTGCCTTATAGATACATCTTACAAGCCAGTGTTGGTGACGTATTAATATGCCAAAATTCTAGCGGCTTCAAATCTAGCGGGAGCAAGCTGGTAGACCTATATGTGAAAGAATGGGTCTGTGTGCTCAGTGTGTGTGTGCAGTATAAAAAAAAAATTGGGGCACCTGCATTGCATTGTGGGAACGCCACATCAGCAGTCCTTGTTTATCGTGTCTTGTGGTAAGAAATATTTAACTCCCTGGCGAATTTGGGACTCTTCTCTTCCCAAGTGATAGTTCTAACACAGATGGAAGTGTCAGTGAAGATGAATTTCATGATTTTGAGGAGTTTGTGACTGAAAGCAATGCCCGGGATACCAGATACAGATAGTGAAAAGGGAAAGGCAGCTTGGGTGTTGGGGAAGGCAGCTTAGGTGTTGGGGAAGACAGCTTGGGTGGTGGGGAAGGCAGCTTGGATGGTGGGGAAGATGGTGCGGGTGGTTGGGATGACGGTTATATAGTTATATAGATTATCATACATAGCAGCATGTGCAGAGAACCTAGGATAACTCAAAAAAGTCAGTGGCTTATTTCCAGCATGGGTGGTGAGGAAGACAGTGTGGGTAGTGGGGATGATGGTGTGGATGTGGGGATGATGGTGTGGATGTGGGGAAGGCAGCATGGGTTTGTGTAAACATGTTTTGTCAATATAATAACAATATTTGTGGAGTTATTGTATTGCATACAATGAGTGGATATATATATATACATTATGCATATATTGGTCTCACAGACCACACAAGTTACTTGAAAAAAAAAATATTAAAAAATAAAAGAAAAAAGTAGAATAAAAGTAAAAATAATATTACCGAGTGAAAGGCAGTCGCCGATGTTGCCATAAGCGGTTCACTTTGTCAACTTCACGCCTCTACATCTCAGTAAATACTGATCGTAATTTTTTTTTTTCTTTTAAAACACTCGGAAAAATATTCTTATGATTTTGGTAAGAAAAATATATGTATATATTTTTTTTTTCAACAAGTCGGCCGTCTCCCACCGAGGCAGGGTGACCCTAAAAAGGAACTAAAATCCCCAGAAAGAAAATACTTTCATCATCATTCAACACTTTCACCTCACTCACACATAATCACTGTTTTTGCAGAGGTGCTCAAAATACAACAGTTTAGAAGCATATGTGTATAAAGATACACGACATATCCCTCCAAACTGCCAATATCCCAAACCCCTCCTTTAAAGTGCAGGCATTGTACTTCCCATTTCCAGGACTCAAGTCCGGCTATATAAAAATAACTGGTTTACCTGAATCCCTTCACTAAATATTACCCTGCTCATACTCCAACAGCTCGTCAGGTCGCAAATACCATTCGTCTCTATTCACTCCTATCTAACATGGTCACACATGTTTGCCGGAAGTCCAAGTCCCTCGCCCACAAAACCTCCTTTACCCCCTCCCTCCAACCTTTTCGAGGATGACCCCTACCCCGCCTTCCTTCCCCTACAGATTTATATGCTCTCCATGTCATTCTACTTTGATCCATACTCTCTACATGACCAAACCACCTCAACCCCTCTTCTGCCCTCTGACTAATACTTTTATTAACTCCACACCTTCTCCTAGTTTCCACACTCCGAATTTTCTGTATAATATTTACACCACACATTGCCCTTAGACAGAACATCTCCACTGCATCCAACTGCCTCCTCGCTGCAGCATTTACAACCCAAGCTTCACACCCATATAAGAGTGTTGGTACTACTATACTTTCATACATTCCCTTCTTTGCCTCCATAGATAACGTTTTTTGTCTCCACATATATCTCAACGCACCACTCGCCTTTTTTCCTTCATCAATTCTATGATTAACCCAATCCTTCATAAATCCATCCACTGACATGTCACCTCCCAAATATCTGAAAACATTCACTTCTTACATACTCCTACTCCCCAATTTGATATCCAATTTTTCTTTATCTAAATCATTTGATACCCTCATCACCTTACTCTTTTCTATGTTCACTTTCAACTTTCTGCCTTTACACACACTCCCAAACTTGTCTACTAACCTTTGCAATTTTTCTTTAGAATCTCCCATAAGCACAGTATCATCAGCAAAAAGTAACTGTGTCTATTCCCATTTTGTATTTCATTCCCCATAATTTAATCCCACCCCTCTCCCGAACACCCTAGCATTTACTTCTTTTACAACCCCATCTATAAATTTATTAAACAACCATGGTGACATTACACATCCCTGTCTAAGACCTACTTTTACCGCGAAGTAGTCTCCCTCTCTTCTACACACCCTAACCTGAGCCTCACTATCCTCATAAAAACTCTTTACAGCATTTAATAACTTACCACCTATTCCACATATACTTGTAACATCTGCCACATTGCTCCCCTATCCGCTCTATCATATGCCTTTTCTAAATCCATAAATGCAATAAAAACTTCCCTACCTTTATCTAAATACTGTTCACATATATGCTTCAATGTAAACACTTGATCTACACATCCCCTACCCACTCTAAAACCTCCTTGCTCATCCACAATCCTACATTCTGTCTTACCTCTAATTCTTTCATTAATAACCCTACCGTACACTTTTCCTGGTATACTCAGCAAACTTATTCCTCTATAACTTTTACACTCTTTTGTCCCCTTTCCCTCTATATAAAGGGACTGTACATGCTCTCTGCCAACCCCTAGGTACCCCACCCTCTTTCATACATTCATTAAACAAAAATACTAACCACTCCAACACTATATCCCCCTTCCCCTGCTTTTAACATTTCTGTCATGATCCCATCAGTTCCAGCTGCTTTACCCCCTTTCATTCTACATAATGCCTCATGCACCTCCCCCACACTCACATCCTGCTCTTCTTCACTCCTACAAGATGGTATACCTCCCTTGCCCGTGCATGAAATTACCGCCTCCATTTCTTTGTCGACATTTAAAAGTTTCTCAAAATATTTTCGCCATCTACCCAATACCTCCATCTACTAACTCCCCTACTCTGTTTTTAACTGACATATCCCTTCGTTTCCAAGGCTTTCTTAACTTGTTTAACTCGCTCCAAATTTTTTTCTTATTTTCATTAAAATTTCTTGACAGTGCCTCTCCCACTCTATCATCTGCTATCCTTTTGCACTCTCTCACCACTCTCTTCGCCTTTCTCTGACTCTCCATATACTCCACTCTTCATATAACACTTCTGCTTTGTAAAAACCTCTCATAAGCTACCTTTTTCTCTTTTATCACCCCTTTACTTCATCATTCCACAATCACTCCTCTTTCCTCCTGCACCCATCCTCCTGTAACCACAAACTTCTGCCCCACATTGTAATATTTGCATTTTTAAAACTATTCCAACTCTCTTCCAAGCCCCCCACTACTCATATTTGCACCAGCCTCCCCTTTCTGCCAATAGTTGCTTATATCTCACCTGAACTTTCTCCTCCCTTAGTTTATACACTTTCACCTCCCTCTTGTTGTTGTCATTTTCCTCTTGTTCCATCTACCTCTTACTCTAACTGTAGCTACAACTAAATAATGATCCGTTTATATCAGTCGCCCCTCTATAAACATGTACATCCTGGAGCCTACCTATCAACCTTTTATCCACCAATACATAATCTAATAAACTACTTTCATTACGTGCTATTCATACCTTGTATATTTTATTTATCCCCCTTATTCATAAAATATGTATTACTTATTACCAAACCTCTTTCTACACATAGCTCAATTAAAGGCTCACCATTATCATTTACCCCTGGCACCCCAAATTTACCTACTACTCCCTCCACAACATTTTTATCCACTTTAGCATTGAAATCCCCAACCACAAGTACTCTCACACTTAGTTCAAAACTCCCCATGCATTCACTCAACATTTTCCAAAATCTCTCTCTCTCTCCTCTACACTTCTCTCTTCTCCAGGTGCACTTTTTACATCCAACCTTTATTTTACTCCACATAATCCTTGAATTAATACATTTATAGTCCCTATTTTCCTGCCATAGCTTATCCTTTAACATTATTGTTACTCCTTCTTTAGCTCTAACTATTTGAAACCTCTGACCTAATCCCATTTATTCGTCTCCACTGAAACTCTCCCACTCCTTCAGCTTTGTTTCACTTAAAGCCAGGACATCCAGCTTTTTTCTATGTATATATATATATTTTTTTTCTCCATGGGGAAGTGGAACAGAATTCTTCCTCCGCAAGCCATGCGTGTCATAAGAGGCGACTAAAATGCCGGGAGCAAGGGGCTAGTAACCCCTTCTCCTGTATATATTACTAAATATAAAAGGAGAAACTTTTGTTTCTCCTTTTGGGCCACCCTGCCTTGGTGGGATACAGCCAGTTTGTTGAAAGAGAAAGATTTTTTTTTTTTTTTTCCAAATATTTTTAGAAACAGCGAGTTTAGAATCGGGTCTTGACAATGAAAGGGATAACACTTACGTAATTTTTTCATATTTGTTTTTTTCATCATTTTAAAATAAAATGAATTTGAGGTTGAAAAGCCCACTCTCCCACAGGAGTGGCAAGTTATTCTGTGCTTACTTAGCTATAGGTTAAGTGATGTATATACAGCTTCATAAGTAAGGAAGTGTAAAGTGTGTATTTTTATGTTAGAGATTGGAATGTACGTACTTCTGAATTAAGATGTCATTGAAAGTTTACTTATGAATTTAAATCTTCTGTTAGTCATTGCTGATATTGTTATCTAACAGATTGAGGAAGGAACACCAGGAATGCTGAAAGTAACAGCAACAACCTCTGAAGGAGAGGAAATAACTGATGAATACAACACCGTGGTCATAGCTGTTGGCCGAGACCCTTGCACTTCCGGTATTGGCTTGGAAAATATTGGAGTTGAGATGGCCAAGTAAGCTCCTATGAATTGTTACAGATATTTTAGTAAAAAATTAAAATAATGTGATAATAAAGTATTAAAGAATAATTGGAAATGCTGACATTTATATTTAAACTACTGGTTATGCTTAATACAGTGGAACCTCAAATTTCGAACTTAATCCGTTCCAGGAGCTAGTTCTAAATTCGAAAAGTCTGAAATTCGAAGCAATATTTCCCATAAGAAATAATGGAAATACAATTAATTCGTTCCAGAAACCCAAAAGTATTCACAAAAATAATACATTTTATAGAGATTAATTAGTTTTACATACACACAACAAATGCTATAGTCTTTAATTATGTATAGTAATATAAAATAACATTTTTACTTACCTTTATTGAAGATTGGTGATGACATCTGGAAGATAGGGAGGAGGAGGGAGAGAGTTGGGGTTATTGTTTGGAAGGAGAATCCCCCTCCATGAGGACTTCCGGTATCAAAGCCCTCTCTGGGGTTGCTTCCCTTCTCTGTATTTTAATGCCACTAGGACCTTGAGCTGGACCCCAGCTGAGTCAATTGGACCCCAGGTCTCACAAAATAACTATCCACAGTCATCTGTTTCTGTCTCACAAAATAACTGTCCACAGTCCTCTGTACATCCTGGCAAGCTCAACAAGTCTCACTCCAATCTCATACTTCTGTATTATTTCCTTCTTCACATCTATGGTGTTTCTCACTTTCTTTACCACAGGGGTACTGCTAGCAAGTTTCTTTGGGCCCATGGCAGCTTATTTCACAGTCCCACAAGCACTAAAGACAATTAAATAATCATAAAATGTGTGAATGAGATCGCAGGTTAGTGTTCACTCAAGCATAAACAAAGCTAGACTGCTCACAGCGCCTGCGCGGGGACGCGGACAGAGCGGGCCAGCGGACAGGTCCCGTACCCGGCGGTCCAAAAATAGGGGCGCGTTCGATAATAGGGACACAGTTTGTCCGAAAAAATGGTCTTATTTTCGAAATGTTTGATATGTGATACATTCGATTTTTGAGGTTCCACTGTATTTGTACAGTCTTGTTAAAAAAAAAATATGCTAGTAATTTCTCAAGATTTTATTCCTCTCAAGGGTGAGAGGTTCTTGATTCAAGGAATTGGACCTACCATTCCCTTCCTTGGATCAAACTGAATGCCTTCCATTTCCTCCCCTCCCCCTTGGCACTGTATGACCCTGTGGGTTTACCACTACCCCAGTGACTGTAGTAATAATAATATTAATAAAAATAATTGACTTTGTAATTTAATTTTAAGAAGTGGTAAGGTAATTGTGAACAATGAAGAGCAAACTTCTGTCCCTCACATTTATGCTGTGGGTGATATCATTGAAGGTGGACTTGAGTTAACTCCTGTGGCCATCCAGGCTGGCAGACTCTTAGCTCAGGTGAGACTCATTACTGCTCGTCTTTATGGCATTATTGTTAGCAGGATCTATTCTCTGCATGACCTTTAATGAATTGCTTTTTCAGTTAGATATTTCTGTAATTGCTTTACACAATGGTAGGATTGCTGGTGCCTTTCTTTGTCTCATAGACATGCAAGATAACATCTTTCTACTTCTACTTGCACTTAGGTCACACTACACATACATGTACACTTACATGTATACACACTCATCTGAGTTTTCTTCTGCTTTCTTAATAGTTTCTTGTTCTTATTTCCTTTCATCTCCATGGAGAAGTGGAGTAAGAATCCTTCCTCTGTAAGTCATAAAAATCATCTAAAATGCTGAGAGCAGTGGGCTAGTAACCCCTTCTCCTGTGTAAATTTAGAGTAACCCTGATTTCTTACTTTGAATGGAAACGTACTATTGGCAAAGGCACTTTTATAATACTAACCCTTTTTATTATTCATTTGTTCAACCTGATGACACCATATTTAAAGTGTATCTTCACTTTAATTTTATTAAAAGCTAACTGCAAATTTTTGTCCACCTTGCAATGTTTCTTTTTAAATGTTATTTCCTGTCAAGCCATGGAGACCTGAAGAAGGAAAATACATTCAAATATTTTAATAAATTATTAAAAAAGTTTCAGTATGTATAGTAATTTCAGTTTAAAATCTAAATTTAATTTCTCTCAGCGCTTGTATGGTAATGGAAAATTATTAACTGATTATGTGAATGTGCCTACAACTGTATTTACACCACTGGAGTATGGCTGTTGTGGGCTATCTGAAGAGACAGCAATTGAAAATTATGGAGAGGACAATATTGAAGTCTACCATTCTAACTTCCAACCATTGGAATTTACTGTTCCTCACCGCCCAGAAAATGATTGCTATGCAAAACTCATCTGTGTTAAGAATGAAAATGTAGGTACCATTTTTTTTCTTGTTTAAATTGGTAAATATGAATAAATTTATTTTCTAAACCTGTATACTGTAAATAAGTTTTTATTTTTCCATTTGCTTATTGTATAATAGAGCTATGTTTTCATGTGCAGTATTTTGACCAGCACTAAACTAATTACATAGGTGTTACAGAGTTGCAGTTATTTCTGTGAAGAAGGCAGCATTATCATAATGCATTATTGGATTCTAAAAAAGAAAAGGAAATACAAATAGTTAATCTTTAATACTAGTAATACAATGTTAATGAGTTTGAAAGACTAGACATGTGATTTACATGAGTTGTGTCTGTCATATAATTTATAATTCTACTTTTATTGATGATAAATTAGACACGTGCAACATTTGGGTATCTTTATTGAGGAAACATTTTGCCACACATTGGCTTCATCAGTCCATACAAAGGAGAATGGTAAAGAACAGGAGTTTGAGGTAATCAGTCCCTCAGCGTTGAGTCGATGTAATCAGTCCATCAGTCTTGAAAAGAGCACAGCATATGTGCGAAGAAGTGATTTGTATACTGTAGACAAGAGGTGAAGCACTCATAGGCAGTATCACATTCGACAACTCCAGATGTGGAGTAGGAAGTGAAGAAATTCCTGTATTAAGACCAAGATGTTGCTGTGTCTGACAGGAATGTAGATAAATGGTTCAGAGAGCTGACAAAATTTGTGCTGATACCGATACCCAATTTTCAGCTGATACCAATGCTTTACCTTAATTTTTTAACTTCTAAAATTGTAATGACTATGGTCAATATTTAAGGGGAATACTTATTGCACAATGGGTATTATATAACACATGAAGGCTAAATATTAAATAACTTCATTTCTCTAACATGATACTGTCATTACTTGCCTAATATCTTAATTACTGGTTATCAAAAGTGTATGTATGTGTGAGTAACTCAGTCATGAGGCAGCATTAATGTTGATATTTAAGCACACTTGTAATATTAATATTTTAAAAAATATCAGCCATTTTTTTATCACATACCATTACCATAAAAATGGCTGATACTGATACTTTGGCACATCCTAGAAATAATAGATATTATTTGATATGACTGCAGGAGCGAGTTGTTGGCTTTCATGTGCTGGGACCCAATGCTGGCGAGATTACACAAGGGTTTGGTATTGCACTCAAGCTTAATGCCACCAAATCTGACTTTGACAATCTTATTGGCATCCATCCCACTTGTGCTGAGGTAAAGAATGATAAATTTTACTTTATTTGAATGTACAGTACAGTTAACCCCCACAAATTCATAAAGTTCCTTATTTGTAGAATTAAATTATACAGTATTTTATTAATTTTGGTGTTAAACCATAAAATTTCATTCAGATTGTGCTTTTCAGATTTTTAATGGCTTCATTCTGACTATTCTTTCAAATGAAAGTCAGTATTAACCAGATAGTGATACAAGACTAAGGTGTGCGAAAATCAAAATATGCAGACAATTTTTGCATCATTTGCAGGACCTATTGGAATGTTGCTCATTGTGAATTTGATTAGCCAGCTGTACAGCTTAATAGATATGTGTCAATGGCAGCAGCTAACTTAATACAGTATGCTGACTTTAGGGCCAAAATATTTAAAAGGCAGACTGTAGGATAGAAGCATAAAGAATAAAAAAATATTTAATATATTTTTTTCTCTCCCCCAGATCTTCACAACATTGAATATAACAAAGAGATCTGGAAAGGATGTAAATGCACAGGGTTGCTGAGGTTAAATATGCTGCCTTTAGCTATATGTGACCAGGAGTAGGGGCACATACGATTAAGATTGCATTAGATATTTTCTTATAGTCTGATGAAAGATAAATTCTTGTCTTCAGTAATGCCCTTTTCCAATAGTATATATTTTAAGTTTCAGCTTTTAACACTAGTTTTTGAACTTTACAAATATTTCTCACAAATGTATCCATTAGCTTAGTCCCACATGAAGAATACATAGTGTAGCTTCCTGCTCCTGGTCATATGCTAATAGCAGCAGGTGTCCAATACTGAGACCCAAGACGTTGGAGAACTGACAGATGCAGGTATCGTGTAGATGGGTCAAGATTTTGAACTACTCAATGCCTGAACTGTCACTTGGACTGCATTATGAAGGTAGTTTCTCAAAACCCAGGTTTGGGCGAGGTCTACTGGAAGTGGAGTCATTGGCGTCGAGGTTCTGTGGTTTTACCACTTTCTCCATGTTTTCACACCTTCCATCGGTCTGAGGAAATCAGATTGAAGATATAGTTATTTAACATGAAATGGAGTGGTACTGTACTGGTATTTATTTTTGTACACCTTTGTTAGTGCCACTGAAATATTAAAGGGCTTATATTATGAAATTTAATAAAATTTTCTTTGTGATGTGATTTCTGTTACCCAAAGAAATATGTATACAGTATATACATGAATATTACATAATATAGACATGGACAGTCGTAGAAAATATCCTTTTTGCATAATACTAAAAGACAAAACAGTGGAGATAAATGAGAAAATAGGCATAACAGGACAACCAAAGAATAAACATAAAAGTATAAATTCAGAATATTATGCACAAAACAGCTGAAGCCTTTGTTAGAACTATTTTTCTGCTAGGAAATCTTTATTGATAGAGCTTTCCTTGAAGTGTAATGCCTTGAACTACTTTTTGGTAATATGAAGCTTTACTGTGGCAACATGTACCCTTCAAGGAAGGTACTCTTTGATTCTAGGAACTGAATTAGTTGCCTTGGAAGCACTGTATGACTGGGTTTATAGAGCTTATTTTGGTTATAATAGAGTTTATCCTATCCTCTCCTGAACCTGAATGCTCCTATTATCCACACACTATATTACCCATACAGGTTTAGCCCTCCCTCCTGATTAAAACATACCATTGTTCAATGTAATTTCCTGTCTTGTGATGCAAACATGAAGCAACATGAGCTCCATGTTCTTGAAGTGGACAATTATGCACTACCTGCATGCAGGCAGAGGTGCTTTCCCTGCAATGTAGCTCTGTTAACTTGACTGCTGTGACTTTCCATCCTCTGTTTATACTGCAGGACATTGTTTACAAGTACAGGAATTGAACCCTACACCACAACAATGTAAAAACTGCTGGCACTTTGGCCACCCAGCAAAATATTGCAGGTCCATGACAGAATACCCGGTGTGTGGTGCTACTGACCATAATGATCCATCTTGTAACCAACCTCCCTCTTGCCTTAACTGTAATGAGGCTCACCCAGCTTTTTCTTGCCATTGTCAGGTTTTCTTCAAGGAATGAGAAATCCACAGTCTCAAAGAGAAAGGAGGTCTTATGCCATGACAGTCTTCCATCACCTCCAAGGGAGACTTCCACAGCTTTTTTTATTTTAGAGTTACTAGACAGCCTCTAACCTCAGTGGTACCTATTTTCACAATTTCCTTTGTGGTCATGGCTTCCACAGTCATGTCTGTGTCTAACTCTTTTGCAGCCCTGGGCTGCAAAAGAGTAAGACCTACCTACCTTGTTCACTCCTACTGTTCTTGCATCATCTCACTTGCATGTTTCATTATCTACATGACCTCCCTCAACTACACCATCACCTCACATTCCTACTTCTCCAGTCTAAAACATCACCAAAGTTCAAATCATCTTTAAACCCTCAATCACATATCATTCCTAAACATTTTCCTTTTCCTGGCTCTGAGCCTAGTCCTTTAGCTCTTACTGCTACTGGTGCAGAGGTTCATCCTACCCCTCATACAGTTCCTTCCTCTCCTTGTCCCCTCCCAAGTTTCCTCTAACCTCTCATCCCTCCCTTCTGTGGTAACTTCCATTGTCTCTCCAATCTTTACTCACCCTCCATCTTTTACCTCTAATATCGTACTGCTGGCAGCTTCCTTTTCATCTGAAGCACTCGAAGTCATCTCCGAATATATAGAAGGGACAAAACCAATGATGGACACCAATCCACCTCCTACTATTACTCCTTCACACCTGACTCAATCTTCTACACAACTGCTTTCTTCACAGAATTCCAGTCCTTTGCTCCTTACAAAATATCCGTTTCCTCTGCAAGTAGACTGTACTAACCCTACTAGTCTGTAGACACCTACTGTTTCACATTGCCAGTATACTATATCTCAGGAATTAGAACCATCAGCGTAAACTAACAGCATGAGAACAAGACCAGTAGTGGTTAAGAAACAGGGATCAAGAAGCAGCTGTAGGCATTTGAGCTTTTGTGCATGGCAGTTGGTTATAACAGACTTGAACTGTTGTAACCTCCCTAGGCGGAAGAGAAAGTTATGTTAGATGAACTGAACATATAAAGGGGGCAATTGGAGAGAAGCCAAGAGCAAGTGAATACGAAGAGAAAAGGGATGAGGTAAACAGTATGCAGAAGGATCATGAAGGTCATGAGAGTGGACAAAATATTAGAGGCAAGGGCATCACACTGATTGTTCAAAGATGGAACATTTGCCTCTGCATATAGGCTCTTGACAGGGAAGGAACAAAAAGCACCTAGACACAAGTGTAATTGCTGATGAACGGGATCACGTTTAGAAAGAGTTGTGGTTGAAGCCACAGAATATACCTGGTTGCCATAATCTAGTTTAGATAAAATTAGGTCTGAATGAAGTAGAGTTCAACAATCGCCCCTTCCCCCCAGAAAGATGAGGGTTTTAAGAAGGTTCAGCGAGAAATCTGACTATCAAGTTCAAGGATCTGGGAACCCTGCAGGCATAATGGAGTAATGAGACAAAAGAACATCTAGTAAAAGTAATTTGGTGCATTTTAGTACCAGAAAATTTAAACCCATGAGTAGTGGGTCAATGGGAAACACTGTCGATAGCATTCTGGAGAGGTTACTACTAGGTGGCAGTTAGTGCCTGCACAAGCTATAGCAAAGTCATCAACATAGTGATGACCAAATATTACATGAGAGAACAAGAGACCAGATCATAAGTAGCTAGTATAAAAGTAGTAGTGTTAAGGACACATCCCTAAGGGATACCTTCAGCCTGTATATAGTCTGGGAAAGCAGGTTATCAACCCGGACATTGATAAGTCTCTCAAGACGAAGGTTTAAAGGAAAAGAGGCAGATTGCCACAGAGGCCTAAGGAATAAGCTTAGGTCAAGATGTTATATCTCCGTAATGTCATATGCTTTTTCAAGATCAAAAAAGACTGCGATAACCGAGCGGTTACTATTAAGGCATTTTGAACATAGGTATCTAAACCATGTAGGTTTAGCGCTTCTTTTTGACTATAATAATAATAAACGTCTATTTACTAGACGTTCCATCAGCTTGCAGATTGCATTAGTAAGAACAATGGGTCGATAGTAGGAGGCATCATGGCCCGAAGTACCCAGTTTAGGAAAAGTCAGAACAATGGCAGTTGTCCATGGATGGAGAAGAACCCTTTGCGACCAAACCAAATTGAAAAGACGTAAGAGGACTATGAGAGCTGACGGATGTAAATGCTGGAGCATACTAGTATGAATGCCAACAGGTCCAGCTGCCGACGATCGGCAAGTGGAAACTGTTGACCCAAGTTCTGGAGGCGTAAAAGGCACATTATAAGACCTCTGCTAGAAGAAAAGTCTACTCCGTGGCAGACTTAAAGGAAAGAAATGAGGGGGATAGAAGGAGTCCCTGAGAGATATTGACAAGGTGGTTTCCAACTGCTGTGGCAACCTCAATAGGATTTGCGATGCTAACACCGGCAACCCTAAGAACAGGAGCAGGGGATGGAGAATACCTGCCATTTAATTTATGTACATTTTTCCAAACTGCACTCACAGAGGAAGCGGAAGTGATGGTAGATACGTAACTGATGGCTAGAACAACCTTCAGGTGATAATATATACTTATCAATTTACCGGGCAGTGTACACTGGTGTTAAATCACTCCTTGAGTATACAAACTAACTACTGTGAAAGTTAAGACATGTGCAACATCTGGATATCTTTATTGTAGTAGACGTTTCGCCATCCAGTGGCTTTATCAATACAGATTCTAGGACATAATAGGAAGACAGTAGAACTATATACATTATTATTATTATTATTATTATCAAAAAGAAGCGCTAAGCCACAAGGGCTAGAACTATATACAAAAGATGAGGTAATCAGTCCCTCGGCCTTGGAGTTAGTGTTCACAGCATCGTGGTGGAGGAGAATCTGGAGCAAAGACAATTCATTCATTCATTAGAGGTTTGCCGGTACTTCCGGCCCGGGTCTTCTCCATATGGTGACCCGGCTGTGGCCCCCGGTTGGGGGTGTCATCATCATCATCTTCTGTCTTCTTTCTTGGGCCGGAAGAAAGAAGACAAGAAGACTGGCGGTTTATATAGGCGTCAGTGGATAGGGACGGGCAGCAGACGAGGGCAAAGTCACTGGTAGGCGGGATTCCCCAGTGGAAGTAGGTCCTTCCCAAAGAGATGGGTTAGTTGCAGCAGCCGTGAAGGTCTTGTAGATGTCCTCTGAACCAAGATTCCATAATGTTGCAGTGTCTGACAAGTTGTGCAAGAAAGGTATAAAATACCGACAATATGAAAGTTAAGACACATGTGCAACATCTGGATATCTTTATTGTAGTATTGTATTGATAAAGCCACTGGATGGCGAAACGTCTACTACAATAAAGATATCCAGATGTTGCACATGTGTCTTAACTTTCATATTGTCGGTATTTTATACCTTTCTTGCACAAACTAACTACTATTTACATTGCACTCCTTAATGCCAGTGAGGTGTTCTTTTTTCCAAGGAAATGTATTTAACCTCCCCTTCCTTAAATCAAACCTGAATACCTCCATTCCCCAGTCTCTGCATGATCCCTACAGGTTCAGCACCCCTATGAATATAATAATCTAGCTCTGATTAACGTATATTTACGAAGTTATCTGATATTATCCTTCAAGAGATGCTTAGAAGTCAGTGAAGGCTCTTGATCCAAAGAATTGGAGCTGCTCCCCCTTTTCTTATATCCATTTTGATTACCTCCCTTTCCCCCAAGTACTATGATTGCTGCGGGTTTATTAGTGCTTTCCACTATATATAAGAATAATAATATTACTGTATTAGTTGTGCAAACTGCTACATGGTTTAGAAAGACACGTAAGCAAACACTGACATATTTATTAGAAAACGTTTCGGTCCTGGGACCTTGATCACTTCTAACAAACAGAGGTAGAAAGACATTATATATATATAGGCGGAGAGTGAGATGTGAGTGACGCACGTGACCTGAGGAATGTCATGTTGTGATGAGGACGGGTAGACGATGAAATCATGTGACTCCTGTGTTGTTGGGTTGGTGGTGCTTAAGTATCATGTATGCCAATGTTTTTGAAATTTTGTAGTTTCCAGTGTTGCGTTCTATAG